TTTACAAGCAGATACCCTGTTCTTTTGATGTTTTGTATGTTCAGATATTCATGTAACAAAATATATACAAATGAATCCCTAAATAGGGACATAATAGTATACTTAAAGTATGATGTAAAGTTCACTTAAAGAAAACTTACGAGTATACTTGCAGTATAAAACTACTAAACTAGTACTAAACTAGTGTACTAAAATGCTACTACAAGTATTTAATTAGTAAACTATCAGTATACCTATAATTTCACCTTTAGTATAGTTGCAGTACAAGCTAAAAGTATTGATGTAAACTAGTTGTGTAGATACTCAAAGTTTACTACTGTTATACTTAAAGTATACTTAAAAGTATACTTTTATATAGGCTACTAGAAAGTGGGCCAATTTAGTCCCTAAGCTCACCAAAATCTACATTGAGACATTTTTAGTGCACAAGATATTGGTTTCAGTACAATATGTTATGTTACAATAAAATATTAATCTCTCACACAAAAATATTTAATTTTATTTTAAATGACAAAAGCATTTTGATTAAGATATACATCATTAAATGCAAAAAGTCTGGCTGTTTTTTTACCCTTTTTTTGCTTAAAGGGTACAAAACATTTTTGTACCCTTTAAGCACACCCCTGTTCCTATTAAGCTCACATCATGTTTTATTAAAAATTATTGTTTATTTTAAACAACCTTTTTAAAGAATAATTGAAAAATATTTTATTTGAAGGTACAAAGTAATTAAAAAATAAAATCTGTAGATTTGAGGTGACATATCTATTAGAAAGTCACGTAGTGTATGATGATCACAGACTCAGATTTTTTTAGCTTCAGACTTTGATTCCATCCAGTCGGAGAAGATCAAACATGTTTGATATTTTCAGCAGATTTTAAAACACGTTGTTTTCATTTGTCACGTGTCTCCTAGCAACAACGCGCACGTTTCTATGTGAGTTTGTGGTGATCGGAAGGAATTTAAAGTCTGCTAGTGTGAGATCTTCAGTCGTTTAGTGTATGATGCCCCGTTTTCCTTTGTGACTATTTACAAAGTCTGTATGTGTATGATGCCTGGTGTTTTAAAAATCTGTTCAGATTTTAAGTCGTGTAGTGTATTCCAGCCTTTAGTTGCTTTTTTCCTGGACAGATACGACAGGTTTCAGATGGCTCCTTCTTTGTACGGACGACATGCCTCTTTCATCTTTGGGCATAAACTATAGTTACGTCTAGATTTTGTCATCTTAAAGCTTGAGCTTAATTGGAACAGCAACAATTTTTTAATAAATTTCATACAATATTTATTAAAATGACAATATTTAGCAAAATAAATAATCTAGGTCATGTATTAAATTCATACATATTTTATTATGAACAACTATTATTAACAATATCTATGAAATTATACTTTTACTTATTGATGTCACACTGAAGCTGTGTGATTTTCATAGTAGTGTACCCTTTAAGCTCACCTTGCAATAATATGACATCTTTAAAAATTACAGCAGTGTAAAACCACAGACCAGCAATAAACTGTCAATTTATAATATTATGGATGTAAAAGTACAAGTCAGTAATGTCTGTGAAGTAATTTATTAGCGTAGCACACAATCTTATACAGCTAGTCAGCTAACTGTGTTCTGTAGCATCTGTGCTATGTTGCTAAAACTGTCTTTTGGATCTAACTGTAATTATTTCCCACATCCAAGTTCCATGTTATAATATACAAAAGTCTAAACATCAATCTCTTAATTTTACAATAAGTAGTTAAACTTACCCAAAATAAAGGCTTAAACATCAAAAACTGCACATTTAAAGAGCTTCTCTTTTGGTGAAAGTTTTCAGACCGCTTTGTCTGGAATGGCCGCCGGACAGTATGAACACACGGAGAACCATATCTCAGTGTGCAATGATCTGATTGAATTGAAATTACAGGAGGTATGCAGCAACAAACACATCAATTGGTTAAGATTTCAATTAGGATAATACATTATTTTTTCTTTTTATAATCTGAGCTCAAAAATGGAAATGTGCTTAATAGGTACGTTTACCCTACACTTACAAGTATACTACTAGTACACTGATATTTGTATACTTACTACATCAAGTATACTTAAAAATATACTTGAACTTTACTTAAGTATACTTAATAAAATAAACTTGAAGTATACTACTTTTTGGTAAGGGATGCCAATTGAAGCAATGCATGTTTGTGTAATTTCAGTGCTTAGTGGTGTGCCGTGGGATTTTTTTACTTATTAAAACTGTGCCTTGGCTAAAAAAAGGTTGGGAAACACTGACTTAAGAAAAGCAACTTCTCAGTGACAGTTTCAGCGTCCTGACAGTTTTAGCACACGAGAAATGGTGTCACTTAGATCATCCCTGTTAAAGAACCGCTGCACAAATTATTAAAGGTAATGCTAAAATTACAAAATAAATCTAGACAAACTAGTTGACTGAGGACTATCCTGGGGTGCGTTTCCCAAAAGCAACTATGGTCGCAAGTTCAGTCGTTACCAATAGAGTTCAATGGAACTAACGACCATAGTTAGCTTACCATGCTTTTGGGAAACGCACCCCTGATCCACTTCTATCCAAACGTTAGCTTCTGTAGTGGAGCATCTCCCACTTGGAAAATCTTGCCTCAGTCTAGCAGGACATAGCCACTATACAGTATATTAACTCCAGCCTTGCATTGCTGAGGAGTCTATCTAGTCCTCTGGGACCTAAACCCATTTGTTTGGGAGTCCAGGAACACAGTGCCATGGGCGACAAGGGGGCAGCAGTGCACTGAACACAGACTCTGCACGTTCCACCAAGACGGAGATGAAGTTAACTAAGCAGGAACAGTCCCTCTGCATCCAGGCAAGAGGTCACACGATGGAGCTGAGGGCGCTAATCATTTCCAATTACAGATTCCTTTTTAATTATGAATTATGCATGAATTTTTAATTAATCTAACGTTCCGAAGGTTTTCCTTTTTTTTCTGTTCCGAGATCTCAATCTAATTACTCTGCATTAAGCGAGGGTGCAGCGACCCCGTTGCCGACCTTCTGGGTAACCCTTGGTCAGCCCTCTCGCATCAATCTCGCTGCTGTCTCACAATTACCTATACTTTCAGCTACAACAACACGTATTTAATGGTCTAAAGTTTGGAGTTTAATTACATTAACAAGTGACATTGTGAGTTTTGTATTTTAACAGCTAAATTTCCTTTTCCCCCAAAAAAATTACTAATTGATACACTCAATATTAGCATAAGCATTATGATATTGTCTGTAACACTCTACAATTAGGGTTAATTCATTACATTTAGTTAATGCATTGGGTATCAATGAACAATACTTTCACAGCAGTCATTAATGTAGGTCAATGATACTAATAATAATGATAAAAATTTCTACATATCTTAATTTATTTTTAACATTTCAGATTGAACTTTAATGCTGAATTTTCAGCAGCAATTACTTCAGTCTTCAGTGTCACTTGATCCTTCAGAAATCATTGTAATAAACTGATTTGCTTTTCATGAAACATTTCTTATTTTTCTTATTTTTATCAATATTTTTGTGGAAACCATGATACATTTTTGTCATTATTCTTTGATGAATAGAAAGAATTTGAACTCTTATTTGAAATAGATAGGAAGTATTTACCATTTTTGTTACAATAAATGCATCACTGTTGAATAAAAGTATGATTTTTTTTTTTATCTTGCTGACCCCAAACTTCTAAGTGGTAGTTTAAATATACATTAATTTCTAATTTAATATATTAGCTAATAAAATATTAAACATTAATCTAGGTTTATTAACCTAGATTAATAAATGCTGTAAAAGATTGTTGTTCATTTATAGATCAGATATCTAAGGCATTAACAAATCTAAATGTAAAGTTTAACCATATTGCTTTCTTTTAATTTCTGGAAACATATTAATTAGCAATCTTATATCACTAAACAATAATCAATATTAATTATATTATTCAGCATAATCTAGGATATAGTTTGTAAATTCGTTTCAACCTAAAGCCAAGTATCCTCTGTGTCAAGAAAAATGGCACTGAATATACGTGTAATGCCTTCAACAAAGACTACAACTGACTTATCAAAAAGTCACAGACTTACAATATTTTTATTGCAGCCTTAAATATGTATTCTAAAACCTGTTAAAAACTGACAGACCAAAAAAAACAAAAAAACAACAGCATCAGGCATCAAGATGGTAAAGTACAGCTATAATAAACAGGCTCTCTATGGTAGAGCAGTAACTGAGGTTAAGAATTAATCAAGCAGACACAGTCCTGCAGGATCTTGGCTTTGGGTTCCCATCCAGCAAGCCGAATTCTACTGCCTTTGCCAACTCATAATTATATTAGCAATGAATTCATCCTAAATGGAAGGAATTATGGATAAATCAAGCTGGTTTACATAATCAAGCATCTAATTCCATCACATTGCCCTTTTACATTGTGGTTTAACTGAGATCTCTTACCTGAAAGCTTTATAAGGAGGTCCGTAGCCGTCTTGGTGGTGATATCTGGGCTGAAGAGCGAGGCAGCTGTAGGTCCAGGCCCCGGTGGACTGGATTTGAGCCCAGGCAGATCCAGAGAGCTGCTGCTGCTGCTGGGTCGCTCCCTACACAGGGCAAAGGGAGACATCACAGACACATCCCTCTCCTGGGGTTCCTCCTTGATCTGGACGTGGTTCGAGGGTTCTGCAGGGGAGGCCAGCAAACGACCATCAGGTTGGCTCACAGTGGGAGATGTGGAAGCATCTGTGTTCATGACCTGATCACCAGCGTCTCCACCGTCCCCCATGAGCAAGCCCTCACCCTCCTCTGTGTCTGTGCCGGGTTCTTCTTTGACTTTGAGGTCGGGATGGGGGAAGTGCTGATGGCAACGCATGTGCAGCTTGAGGCTAAAGTGGCGGGAGGATGTGAAGGGGCAGAGCTCACACTGGAAAGTCTCCCCTCGGTCTTGGTGCTGATGGACCTGAGAAGAGCAACAGAAGAAATAATTTTAATGGATTAATTCTGATTTATAAAAAAAAAAAACAATGCAATAAATAAAATAAAAAAAAGATTGTGTGCTGCCCTCTCAACTGTCTCTAATTACTGTGGGCTGTGCCAACAATAGGTTTACATTCAATGATATGTATACGTAAATAAACAATTTATTGACTTTTAAGGCCAGTTTTTAAAATGTCTATTTAATATTGTCATCTGCCACGATAATATATTACTTTTGAATTACCTTAATTTAGAGGCTTTTCCCTGCAAATATTTATAAATGTGATTAATTTAAATTATTTGGTATATCATTTGATACTTAATTTTATTAAAAATATGAAATGACAGACCCTAATAATTTTGCATCATAAAAAAAATCTGCATCTAGAGACGTTATGATAATTGATTTGATGTGATTTATGGCACAAGCATTTCTGCTCTCAGCGATTGATGTCACCTTCATGTGGGACTTGAGATTGTCTTTACGAGCACAGCGAAAGGGACAGAGGGGACACTGGTGACTTTTTAAGCCTGTGTGGATCACCATATGTCTCTTCCAGTAGCTCTTTCTCTTGATGACGAGACCGCACACCGGGCACTGAAAGGGCTTCCCTCCATCCTCAGGAGAACCTGCAATAAATAAACAAACAAACAAATAAATAATTAAATACATGAATAAAATACATGCATATAGAGTTTATACTAAATATTAAACCCACAATAAAAAAAAAAAATTTAAAAATTACACATCTATTACCACCATACTTGCATTTTATAAATGTTATGTTTTTGTTATTATTTATGTATTTGTTGCTAGTAATATATTGTTCGAAAAATGTCTAGTATCTACATAGAACCATTAGCTGGACAATGATGCCACATTATCAGATAGCCCTTTGGCATGCAGTAACATGTAGGCTAAATATCTCTTATCAACCTTGCATCTATTTGTGTGAATGAGATAAAAATTGTGAGCTATGATTACTCCGATCAATGCCAAAGACTCCTCACAATGGAAGCCAAACACAAGGATGTTTTTAGTAAGCCAATTATTGTTGTTGGCTCCATATCCGGTGTCCATTAGGTCTTAATTGGTCTTATTAGAAGCTGGCATGATTGCATTACAAATTCTATGAGGGCCTGTCAGGATGGCTTCATAAGTATTCCAGTCGTGTTCCTCGAAAAACATCTGGTAATCAGTGTTTGGTGAAATTACCGCGCTCAGGCATTCATTGACCCAGGGTGTAAAACTTCGAGACTGCCTATTTGCAACAATAAACCACCATCTGTGGCTCAACCTCTCCCGGCGAGATCACTGTGGAAACTGCTCGTGAGGTAAAAAGACTGAAGGTCTTTGGTATCAAGGGAAAGGAATGAGAGCCATTAGCTGGTTTCTCAAATTTTAATGTGCATTTGGTATTGTTTCATTACCAGACAAAAACTCTTTGCGTGACCATCTTATAGATCTCACATTCATAAAAACAAGCCAGGTGAAACTCGATTATGATTTTAATTGAGGCGTTCTTATTTAGTATTTAAACTTTACACTTCATGATCTGTCATATTATAGCCATTTACAACACATTTATCTCTCTTGTGATCGTGACTTTGACATTATTCTCTGTGTCTGCAGCTCCTTTCGGTCAATCCTGATTCCAAGCCACAGAGGTTTGAGAATTAGCAAAAGATCAGCCATATCTCAGGCGCTCAACCCGGGCCTGTGCTGAATGGAAACTCTGATGGTTGTGCTGGCTCTGGAGCCTGACCTAAATTCCGGGAGAATCTGCTGAGATGGTCCCCGACTGTTCGGGCTATGGGGAGCACACACACTGCCGGCCTCCGTTTGGCAGGCTGCACATCCGCGGGAGATGAGCTGGGTCTGGGAACGTGCCGCCAACTCCAGCAAACCCCCACTGTGCTAACAGACCTTTCCCAGATTCTCCAGCCAACCTCTTGCAGACGAAGCATGACCTTATGGCACTACTAAATCACTACACAGTGCATTCTTCAGTGGTGTAATTATAAAACATTTAGGTACTGTTACCTTAAAAAAATTATTACTGTTAAGAAATTATTCTAATGTAAAAAAAACAAGACTATCTGATTCGAAATTGTCTAGCATGACATTTTCTATTTATTTACAATTTTTGTATTTTTATAACATTTTCTTTGATCTTTAATAATCTGTAGCAATAGTTAACATTTGATGTATATTAAATATGAATATATATCTATACCTTTGCAATAAGTCAATTCGTGAAATTTCATCCCTTCTAGATATTCCACAGTCAACTGTAAGTGGTATTATTGGAAAGTGAAAGCGTTTAAAGGGGTCATATGATGCTTTTTTAAAGATCATTATTTTGTGTATTTGGTGTAACAGAATATGTTG